TATTGCGTGCCGTTCATGTAGGACTCTGCTAATTAGGTCGTGTGCATATTATCCTAGAATGGGTTTTGGAGCCTTTGGCATCTTCCCTGTGCTTCTGAAGAAGAGGTACCAAGTTCGTAATGATTTCAACTTAGTTGCTTTGATCCCCATATTCCTGTTGTTATCATGAGAAAGTTGTTGACATTGCAGAGTATCATCGGAAGATCATGGTGTTATGGGTTTGAGATATGGCTCGTCAAATCTTTCAGTTGGAGCTACAGTTATGCCTTTTTCATGTTAGTGATCTCCTGCTGCATCACTGATTTACTTCCGTTGTACTTTTTGGCTCCTTGTGTTCTGGAAGCTGTGAGCTGAATATTTTGGCTTAGCTGCTATAAAATTCCTAATTTCCTTTTTTCTGGTGTATCCACATGGGCTCAAGGGAATGTGGTCTGGACCTAGTCCTTCATGTTTAGTCCTTTCCCTCTTAACTTGGAATCAGACAACCTCTGTTTCTTGATTTAGATGACTCACAGCTGAACATACTGATTTTTCAACTTATGAATATAAACATGTATTTTGGCAAAATTTCCTACATGGGCCCTAAATGATATTATCTTGTTTATTCTAGTGGGAGATGAGTTTCCAAGAAGTGCTTGGTTGGTAAGCAAGATGGGAAGGTTGATGGCAGGAGTGCAATATGAACCCCAGTGTAAGTTTATTTGAAATTAGAGTCATTGTTTTTCTGGATTAATGCTTGAGGTACAATTTGTCAAGCATAGGGTCATAATAACATGTAAGATGGTTCCGTGTGGTCTTTGAATGATAGGAACGGAATATCAATCTATCAGAATCTTGATGAAATCTATGCATATGATTTCTCTATAATCTGCTGATTTGACACAGTTGGAAGCAAGGATGCAGCAAGATATAAAAACTTGGCTAATTGGAGCTGTGCTATTGGTTATGGGCTAGGATCAGGCAGCCCTTTGAGTCCATCCTTCAATTTTGGTCTTGAACTAGCTAAAAATTCGCAGGTTTTTGCCTTTCAGCTTTGTGTAATTCTCTTTGTGCCTGTATTTATTTGCATAAAGTACTACTGCTAATCTACTTTTTAATGTATCTTCTAGTGGTATACAAATATTCTTTTCCTGCATATTAGTTTGTACCTTTTTCTGTCACTTACATGATTTTTTTGAAAATACTCACTGCAGTTCATTGCCTCATTCTATCAACATGTGGTAGTCCAAAGACGTGTATGGCTTCTCTTCCTACCCTAACTCTCCTTCCCTTTGCTCTGTTCTGTCTCTCTCTCTCTCTCTCTCTCATATCTTTCTTTTTTTCCTCACTATGTATTTGATCCTCGACAAACTGATATTGATAGATAATGGTATGGTTTGAACAAAGTTTCTATAGTTCTTTGATTCCACGTTCTTGCTTAGACATTTACTTGGAGATTAATTTGGAAGATGATACTGACAGGAAGTAATTTATGCAATGTCATAGGTGAAAAATCCACTTGAAGAAGATGAAGTAGTTGGAATCACTAATTATATTGACTTTGGTTTTGAGTTGCAGACAAGGTATTTTTGAGTAACTAAATGAATTTTGCATTCTAGAATATGTTTGAAGTTCCTAATAGACAGCTCAGGTAGAAGGGGTTTTTCAGTTATTTGTTATTCTTTTTATGCTTAGAGTTGATGATGAGAAGACCTCCAACAGTATCCACGACTCAACTTTTCAAGTTGCTGCATCTTGGCAGGCCAACAAAAACTTTTTGCTTAAGGTAACAACTGCTTGTGTTGTTATGCAATTTGTTTCGGTCACCAAAGTTTTAGGTTTCTAACTGTTTGCATCATCTTTCGCAGGGGAAGGTGGGACCTCTAAGTTCATCTCTAGCTTTAGCTTTTAAGTCATGGTGGAAACCTTCTTTTACTTTCAGCATTTCAGGTACAGCTAAACAAAAGGCATTGTTGATTTGGATCCTTTTCCTCACTCTTACTAATCATATAGTTTTCATAATCTAGGGCACTGGTAAATGTGATATAGAGATAAGATGGTGTAAGATGGCAATTTCATAGTCCTTATAGATCCTCCGCTAGTGATGATCTTTTGTGTCCAAACCTTGTTAAACTGTTGTGCTATATCTTTGTTGGTGTTGACTTTTGTATTTCCTTTGTAGCATCCAATGTTGAAAATTTTTCCTGGATAACAACGTACCACTTTGGTTGGTTGTCTCTTTGGGTTAAACTTTTCTGGTGCTATACTGGGATGTACTCGCTTGCGGTCTGTCTTATTGTACTAAATGCTCTCAGAATCAACTTTTGTTTGCAGTGTTTTAACTCTCAAATTAAATCACTGTCAAAGTCATTATTCATAATCCTCTGCTGTGTACAAGTTCAGAGTCACTTCTCTGATGCTAAAAGAGTCATGTTATTTATGCCGAAGCTGTGAAATTGGGAAGTTATTTGTGCTTGAGGTCTTTTGATTGTTTTACACATATAATTTGCACTCTTCATTGGAATATCTACTAGACCGTATATAAGTCCTGTCTCTCAATTGTCAGATAAACTGAACTGTTTCTGAATAGTGTTTCTGTTGGCCCAGCAACCAGAGATCGTTCAAAAAGAGAAACAGCCTTTGGTTTGGCATTCGTGTTGACAGTCTTAGAGAAGCGAGGTTGGTTATCATGTTGATCTTCTTGTCCTTTGTGTTATTTAAAGCCCAATGGCTGAGGGCAGCTGGAAAGTGCATTCTCCTGTTTTACTTGAATTTCTGGCTTTGTAAAAATGGGAAGCATGCTAAATGAGAATGAGTTTCTTAGGAGTTCATACTCCTACAAATACCACGTTTTGCCACTAATTTCAAGTCTCTTGATTTTTCGTCCGGCTGGATCCTTGAGATTTTACTTACACAAGAATAATTTATTTAAGAGAAAAAACCTTGAAATTTTCCTGATAGTTTTCTACTCCTGGGAAATGCAGTTATCAGAGGGCCGATCCAAATTTTGTGATGCTGACACCAAACAAGGAGCATCTGGCGGAGGGCATACACTGGAAAATTGGGAAGAGGCCTGTGCTACAATCTGACGTAAATTCTGGGAATTTTGATGGCATACCCAGGGAACTGAGACCCTTGGGCAAAATTTTGTAATCTGAGGCTTAGGCAGCTATAGCTATTAGTGCTACAGGAGCAGGGGATGCACCGCACGACAGAGTGAACATGACAAACTGAGAGATTTTTTCATATTTTAGAATCACCACAAGTTTCGGACTTTGCCATATCTCTCTCCTCCTTCATACGTTGTAACTTCTCCGGATTATTTTCCTGTGTAATTTTTTTTTTTTTTCAATCAATGCTTCTAAGACTAGAAGCCGAGAATGACAACACTGTAAAACCACCTCTGGAGAAGGAGTGGTACTGCTTGCTTGCGTCTTTACATTTTGCTATGGTGTAGAAGTTTTATCTTTATGTACTAAAAAAAGAAAGAGTCTCTGTCTGGTAGAAATGACGAGAAAAATGCCAATTTGAAGAGTCTGGAAGTGGAAGCGAGAAGGACGTTCTATTCGCTTCTGTCTTGCAGGAGATAGAGAGATTCTACAGGTAATGGTCCTCTGTTAGTTACTGGTGGGGCCCGCTGCAATGGCAATTAATTATTATTATTATTAGTATCAGTACTTCGACGAGTGGACTCGTAATTCCAGTTATTTTAAACTTGACCGTATCCGCTCCTTGAATCTAGTACGCTCCATGATCGTTGAAGGAATGGGCCCCTGACGAGGAAACAAGGTTGCAGCCTCACTAATGTGGAAAGCACATAGGATATACTCACTCACACGCACATGCTAGTGCTCAAGGCACGCTAGAATGTGTGCTCATTAGCTAATAAAAGAAATTCGTACCATATTTTTAGGCTATATTTGAAATAATTTTCTAGAGAATTAGTTTTATGTCGTAATAGTAAATGTGTAGAAAATTTGCTAAAATAAAATATATAAACAAATAATTATTTAGTAGTAATTTATAACTATAACTAATAGTTGTTAATAAAAATTAAGATTTATTAATTAAGTTGAAAAACAAAATAATAAAAATATACATATTAGCTGGAAGAGGGATACATTGGAAGTTGAAAACGGATAGTTATTAAGGGTAGTTTAAGCAGCAAAAAAAATTATAAAAAAAAGTTTACACCATATGCCTTTCTTCCCTTTTATATAGCATCTTTTTTATGAGCACGTCCTAAGTATGTGCTTATATGGAGAAAATGTATGATTATTTTTTCGTATTAAGCTACATATCATGGTAAATACATGTGCATTTATTTGAAAAATTTATAGTTTTTACTTTAGAGGAAGATATTTAAAATTTATAGTTTTTACTTTAGAGGAAGCTATTTAAAATCATGATGGAGAAAAAAGTGGGATGTGAGAGAGTTATGATGGAAAGAAAAGTGGGGATGCGAGGGAGTTAGTGTGAAAAAATTATAATTAGATCTGAATGAAAAAAGTGCTTGGTTTATGAAATGTTTTTCGGGAATATATTGGGACCAATTTGCCTTATAATTAAGGATAAATTACGAATTTTAAAAAGTAACATCGTGTGTTTATGGCTTTATACAATACAATATGTTACTCTCCTAGATATATATATTTTTTGATCCCCTGTTTTTTAGTGTTTTTAAAAAACTAGTTTTTCAAATATAATAAAAATTTTTAAAAAATACTCTAAAAGGTAATCTAAAAATTAGTTTAAATTTTTTTAAAATTTTAAAAAATATTTCAAAATATATTCTAGAAACTCTTATACTCTTAAATATCCCAAAATATTTTCTAAAAATATTCTAAAATATACACAAAAAACTCTGTTACAGCAAAATTTTTCAAAAACACCCCTAAAAATAGCTAATTCAAACGATATTAGCCAGAGTACTGCATTAGTATTAGTATTGGTATTATTTTATTATTTATTAATGGAAAATGCTGTAATACTCTACTACTAGAGTATGTGAACCTGAGGTAAGCAAGCAGTCTCTCTCTCTCTCTCTCTCTCTCTGCGCAGGGGAATGGCTGCTTCTTCTGCCCATTCATTTGTCACTGCAACGCCCACGAACACCTCGTGGCTTTCGCGCCTTTCAGCTCCTCCCAGCTCCATACTACTCAAATTCACCCTATCTACTAGGGCCCTCTATTATCGGAGAAGCCTGGCCAGTGGTACTGGTACAAGTAGTACTAGTCCTCTCCTTCCAATTGTCTGCGCTCTTGGCAGTAATTCTAGCTCGAGCTCCAGCTACCTCTCTGACGAGTCCGACGAAAAATCGAGCATCAAAAAGCAACTATTGGACTCGCTTTTTGTAGCCTGCGCTTCTCTGGCCTTATCTTGCTCCCTATTTCTCTCCGATGTTGCTCCGGCTTCAGCATTCGTAAGCACAACAACGCCCAAGAAGTTGCAAAGTGATGAGCTGGCTACAGTTCGTCTTTTTCAGGAAAATACACCTTCAGTTGTCTACATCACCAATCTCGCTGCCAAGTAAATGCTGCACCTTCTCCAACTATTGGGATTAGTACTAGAATTTATTTTCATTTACATATCTGTTCGAAATGCAATCTGGGTCATTGATGATTCATGTGCCACAATGAAGGCCTGGAATTGGGTTCTTGAATTGGAAGTGATGATGATGTTATATTTTGGTCAATGCTTTCGTTTGTGGTTTAGTATTCCTTGACAGTTCTAAGGGGTCGATCAGGTTTTGATTGATTAGCACCCATGTGTGTTTCAGGCAGGACGCATTCACACTGGACATATTTGAGGTACCTCAAGGGTCAGGATCGGGCTTTGTGTGGGATAAGCAGGGTCACATTGTCACCAACTTTCATGTGATTCGAGGTGCATCCGATCTCAGGTTAGTTACTTCGCATCAGCACATCCTTGTTTGCTGCTTTGAGTTTGAGGGCTCTTTTCTTCTTTTTGGCTAGACACAATATTGAACGCATGCTGTGGGCTTTACTGTGCTTGTATCTGTAAATAGCTATTTGTTCTATTATCTCAAAGAAGGATATCAGTAAGTGTGAGGATGCCAGAGCATATTTTTGTGACAATCCTGTAATCATTGAAAGCCAAAAGTAGTCGTATCCTCGAAACACTTGAAATTGCAGGCAGATAAAACTTTTTCCGTGACAACTTTTTTCTTCCTCATAGTGTCTTGTTATAATTCAGGGTCACACTGGCAGACCAGAGCACTTACGATGCAAAAATTGTTGGGTACGACCAAGATAAAGATGTCGCTGTGCTGCGGATTAATGCTCCAAAAGACAAGCTGAGACCTATTCCAATTGGTGTGTCTGGTGACTTACTTGTTGGCCAAAAGGTCTTTGCTATTGGTAATCCTGTAAGTATTTTCTCCATTGCTACCAAAGATTCTTGTTCGACCAGATATATTGCTTTCTGCTGGAAATGTTTGTTCTTCTTCAAAGGTAGCTCATAGCTGAATTTCATTATACTTATTGAGCTTAAAAGAGAAGGGGAAAACACTAATTTGTTTTGGCTTACCAATGGAAAGATATCAACTTCCACTTATGCCAGATGTGTTTTTCCTGGTGGTGTGATATTTGTTCAAAATATGGGCATAGATTAGAAGCACAATATGATCAAGGCCTTATAAATGCTGGACACCCATCTTTGGGTCCTGCAGGGCCATGTTACAGCTCTTTAGGTTTCTCTTGTTAACTATTATTCCCTCAACCAGGCAAAACCAAGTTCAGTTCCTAACCCTGCATATAGTGATCATCTTCAGGCTATCTAAATTTTTCACCCACATCCATGTTTAGTTTAATGCACTTTCTTCTAGTTTAACAAAGTGATTTAGTGATTTATATGCTCATACATCTCATTTTGCAGTTCGGCCTTGACCATACACTTACAACTGGTGTCATCAGGTATGCTTGCACTTGTTTCACTTATTCAGAAGTTGATTTTGTCAAAGTTGAATTCATGTAAGCTTTTCCTTTGGCAGAAAATCGCTGAACCTTTACTGCACGGACATACACTTTTCTTTCTTTATTTCCCTTTTTTTCATTTTGAACAGAAGTAAACGTGGTATGATTTAGCTTCTTAATAAAGAATGTATGCAGGTCTTTTGGGCTCCCATATTTTTAACTGTTGTCCTCTCCTAAAAGATAGGATCTCACTATGTGCAAGGTGTGTGTCGTACCACAATTGAAATTTGAATGGAGTAAGTAAGATAAATGACAGTCGCCTCAAGCTTATCCTTAACATTATTCTAGAGGATTTCCTCATTCTAAGTCTGTGAGATGCATCTGAAGGCCGGGTATTAAATATCAATGACAACAATATTGCATCAATTTCCACAATTATTAATTTGGTACGAGTTATGGGAGTATATGACCTAAGTATTTTCTATCTGGAATAGTTTAGTTAAAGGACACTCATGTTGCATAAGCTTTCTCTAAATTGTTGCAAGTGTTTAAATGTAGTGGGCTTCGAAGAGAAATAAATTCTGCTGCTAGTGGCCGTCCAATTCAGGATGTCATCCAGACAGATGCTGCAATAAATCCTGGTAATAGCGGAGGACCACTTCTTGATAGTTCGGGAAGCCTTATTGGGATAAATACAGCTATATATTCTCCATCTGGTGCATCTTCTGGGGTTGGATTCTCAATTCCTGTTGACACTGTGAGTTCATACTGGTCATTAAGGTCATGAGTTTACAACTAGACGGGTTTACATAGATGTCAAGGTAAAATGTCCAAAAAGCGTATCATTTAGAAGTCACCCATTCACTTATTCAAGGGGAAAAGTTCTGCAGGTTGGTGGCATTGTTGATCAATTGGTGAAGTTTGGGAAAGTCACTAGACCAATTTTAGGAATCAAGTTTGCACCTGATCAGTCTGTAGAACAACTGGGAGTTAGTGGGGTGCTTGTCTTGGATGCTCCTCCAAATGGTCCAGCTGGAAAAGCAGTAAGTGAATTCTTTCCTCTCTTCTCATGCTACTGCTGACTCTGCCTCTCTTTCTGTTATTGGGAGTCTTCTGAGTTTTCCATTTACCCATTTGACAAAAGTTTCTAAATCAAATCAGTGAATTCATTTTTTGTAGGGTCTCCAGCCAACTAAACGTGATTCTTTTGGTAGACTTATCCTGGGAGATATTATAACATCTGTTAACGGGAAAAAGGTCTCTAATGGTAGTGATTTGTACAGAATTCTTGATCAATGTAAAGTGGGCGAAGAGGTAAGTGCAGAGTTATGTTGCCTCTCTCTCTCTCTCTCTCTGCTGATTGTGGCAGTTTTTTGGACTAAATGATTGCATACACTACTGTGCGCTAAGACTTGGCACTTAATCTGATCCAAGGTTATTGTTGAAGTGCTGCGCGGTGATCACATAGAGAAGATCCCTGTAACCCTCGAACCAAAGCCTGATGATGAGACATGATGTATCAGGACCGCCCTGAGAATATGTATACCACTAGGAAATTTGATTATCTTATGTGTCTAGTATTTCTGATGTTCAGATATTGTACGTGGCACATTCATATACTGCTATTTTTGTGCTTTTAGTTGCTTCATCAGTCTGGTGGTGCACTGTACAGCTATGGAGCTACCTTAAGCTACGTTAGCTTGCTGGTGCTCCAGCCACTATTTCCTAAGAATGCATGGAAAGCAGAAGAGAAGTTTTAAAGAGAAACTTCCTGAGCTTCTTTTCCTCCAAGTGGTGTATACTGGTCATAGGGGAGTAGAAGTAGATTTACTTTGTAAAAGCTAACGAAAGCGTTTATCATTACTCTGTGCTGGCCAAAGAAGTTAAAGAGATAAGATCAGGAAACAAAAAGGGTTTAGGAGAAGGCATGTGGACCGGGATTTGTTGGCTTTAAGATATGTTGCAGTAAACAAGTATCTACAGCTAGACCAAGGCGTTTTTTCTAACTTGCTGCTGGAAATGAATTAGTAATTTGGGTATGGCTGTCATGTTACGCTTGAACTCCTCAGTCCGCATGGTTTTAACTCGTAAGCGGTTAAGGCAGAACATTTTAAGCTGCTGCTTGAGGAGTACCCAAGCATTCTCCAGTTTTATCAGGGAGAGTCTTCCAGGGTCGAAACTAGTAAAAGAGGTGTAGAATATGGGGTCCTGGATCGCTGGCTTGAGGATCTAAATGTCGTGGCTGAGTACTAAGAGCTGGATCATCGAGTTGATCCTGGAGTTAATTTGGCAACTTAGGATGTGTGAATTGGTGCAATTGTCTATTATTATAAGACTATTCATGAATTTTTTTTTCTTTCTTCTTGTTGTCGGTCTTCAATGCAGTCAGATGTAACAATACCATATGATTTCAAAACAAGTACCCTACACCCACACAAGCACAAGATACACCTCACCGATAACCCTGTATCTGCCCATTTCGCTATCAAGTTTACTATCAGCATTTCGATTTGTGTATCAGTCGATTTGGAACCACCAGCCATTGGGTTGTTGGCCACCGTTAATGCATTAAAGTTTGGTGGGATGGGAGGTAAGGGTTCAAGGCGGTGCGTAGTGCATCCGTCTGGTTCAGTGGTGATTCAGTTCCTTTCGGATTATCTTTAGACCTCTTCAGATCCTCCCCCTCCCTCTAATGTAGGATAATCTATCGTATCAACAAAAAAAAAAAACAGAAGTCGATTTGGGTTGCGCCAAAAGTTTAGTACTAACATTTGCTGACGGTGAAAAACGTAGCATCCGAAGGACAAGCAAATATGTGTTAGAGCCAAAGCAGGAGTTGCATGATGTATAAATGGATTTACATGCATGCATCTCTTCCCGGAATTGGTTTTCCAAAGATATGATCGCATTAGAGTCCGGTTTACAATTCCGGTATGTATTATTGGGGTGGCATTAGATTTTACAACTGAATTGGAGATCATATTTCATGCAACTGTTGTTTATATATAGTAGTAGTGGTAGTAATACAAACTACAGAGTGAAGAGGACATCGTCTGCAGAATGGCCGTTACTGTCCCTACCTAGTAGAGCTTCCAGTGGAGTACGGTAGCGACATCCCTTACCTAGCAAATGCAAGGAAACCTTTTTTACTACAAGATAAGATACCGGGGCACTGAAGAATGCAAGTGAATTATAACTATAGATGATGGAAGGGGGCTAGTAGTCCTCTTTATTTTCAAGAAAGGAAACCCTTTTAACTACAGGATAAGATGCTGAGGCACTGAATATCTGGATTACACATTAGTTATGATTTTGCCCTTTTAGGAGGAAAATACAGCATGGCTTCCGCATGAGGGAACAAAGATGTGGTAACTGATTATGGTTGAGTTCATACAGATACTGATGGAGAAAAGTTGAATTCAAGTCCCCAGAGCTCAAACGATCCTTGAATAAAATCGTAGTAACCACCCTTCACTGCTAGAGTTCTCTTCACCAACCCATCTCTCACAAATGGATATGTTAGCAAGTTTCCAAGCGATACATTCACAGTTTCCTGCACCATGTTCCATTAACATGTTACCCACATGAAGCCATTTTTCTTTCTTTTTTTTTTTCAAACAGAAGCAAGTTTAAGTGAAGCCAACATCCATGGTTGCTGCACTAAAATAGTAAATACCTTTTCAGCGAGTACAATCTGCTCAGGTAAAGGTTTGCTGCCATGTTCTGTTTTCACCTTTGCCCTCGCAGGTAAACCAATTTTGACCCAATCTTCAATGAAGTCACTGCAAATTACAATATTTGTTTTGAGTAAGGAATGCATTTTTAGTACACTATTATTCAATTTCTAGTTGATTTTGCGCCAATTTGCAAAAACCAACAGAGAGGGTGGTGGCGCAAAGTCGCAAACCATGGGGCAGGTGCTTCACCAACATTAGTTGGAGCTTTCTTGCTCTCTCTTTTACATTATTTTACGTATACGGTCATCATGTTTTATCCTTTTCTGAACTTGAGAAATGCCACTACTGTTTGAAGTGTTAAAAAGAAGAATGGAAACTTACGTGGAGGTGGTTCCATCTTCTGGAATAGACATCAGGCCCTTAATCCCTCCACAGGCGCTGTGCCCGATGACCACAATATTCTCCACCTGTGGAGTGAAAATTGGTTAATATAAAGAAATGCAGAAAAAGTTGGGAGTGCACATTTGGAGAGTCCAAGGAGAGCATACGAGATCAAACTGTCGACAAGAAGTTGTCATGTCATAGAGTTTGCAAGCTCTCCCTTTTAACTCAAAAAAAAAGAAGAAGAAGAAGAAATGTATCGCTAGACGATGAATTCCCGTTTTTTCCCTAAAGTTTTTATACTTTGAGGGGGAGATTCGAAAGAAAGTACGAGTTTTTAAGCTTCACCTTGAGATGCAAAACTGCAAATTCGATTGCAGCCCCAAATTCAGAATGCTTCAACTGTCACCACCAAAAAAAAAACAAAATAATTACCGAGTTGGAGATATAAAATTCATGAATTTGTGAATCTCTAAGCGGGGCACATGAAGAAGTAGACTTATTAATTCAGGTAACCTGATCATATGGAGGAACCAAATTTGCAACACTTCGGACGATGAATGCGTCCCCTGGTTGGAGGCTCAAAATGAGTGAGGGGTTAACCCGAGAGTCCGCGCATGCCACGATCATATACTGTTACATAAGTATTCATTTACTCCCAGGTTGAGGAGCAGCTGAAGTATGCAATACTAGCAGAAGTATCCGATAGAAAGATTGATCCTATCCATATATAGTTGTGTACCTTTGGGCTCTGGCCTTTAGCAAGTTGGCCGAACAAGGCTGGATTTGTCCTGGCTCGTACAAAAATGTTACATAAACGCGTGACGCGATCGAATTTCTAATTTCTTGAGGTGCAACACTACTAAGGACTTAACGAATGCTAATTATCTGTTCTTACTCATATTTCTCCCTTTTGAACCGAATGAAGCCTGTTTTCAACTTCTCGACTGCATCGAAGGCTTTGGTGTCAGTTGTTTGCAACTCTGCAGTGATTTGCTCAATTTTTGCAGCTGCAACGGGTCCGTACCCTACCTTTTCGCTGCAAAACAAGTTTAATGCTGTGAGACGTGTACCGTGTTTCTTCTGCCATTCTTTACAAGAGCTACTTTGCTACAACAAGATCAATATTCTGTTTTTGTATTACTCCCGAGTATCCTGTTTTTAGACCCGCCGGGAGGGGGAGAACAGGGCAAGATCAGAACATAGAATAAAAAGTAATTGAGTCCTGCACTTCACACTATTTTGTACTATCAAGAACTTAATAACGAATGGTTGCAGGCGGCTACGTATTCATCTGTACTTGCTTTTTAAAAAAGATCAAATGATCGCTATTGAGAAATCATAGGTGGATAATTCTGTCCATGTTTAAAGATGGGCAAACCTGAGAAGCTTCTGAAGTCCGACAATGGCCTCCTCATACTCTTCTTTTGACATACCTTCCCTCTGCAATTTCCCGGTGCAAAAAAAGGTTTATTCTTTTTTTTTTCCACAAACAAAAAAAAAGGTTTATTCTTTAACTGGTACAAAGAGAAGAGAAAGTTTGAAAAGGCAAATGTCAAGGAAGAGACAGAAAAGTTCAAATTGTCACAAGCTTTAAACCAGTATCATTAACATGAATCAAGAAACTGCTTTGCAAAAGTTTTTTGTATGCAGTCGTGACTCGTGAGATGTAGATATATGTTGCTTTCATACTCAATAACTATCATCTAATGTTTGTTAACCATGACATGATCATGTATGTGGATTTTGGGAGCGCCTAGTTCATGTTAACTGCCATGAAGAAGACAACTCTAAAATGCAGAAACCATTCGTGATTTCAATAGGATAATTTATTGACCCTTCCATTTTGCCATCACCGCCTGGGTAATGGTCCCAAGAAAAATAGGCTATAGAAATTAGCAAGACAATAAAAAAGGTTTGCTTAACTCAGAGTGTGGGAGCCATTCCATAACAGTTGTGAAATGTTTAGTTGACATCAGAAGAATGACGTGTGGCAGTATTTAGAAACAGAAACATTTTTGTGGAAATTATGTAGATGTACACAGGGCAAGACTGTAGGAAACAAATCTGGTAGTGTTGTTCTGGGCATATTCTGTTGCATATGGGCATTGACATGTACTTCCCATTCCATAAATGATTAGTACTACAATTTTACGTGCATGGCTAATTTCTGCCTAAAAACAAAAAGTTGCCGTACGCATGTTGGTCGTGAAAGAGTACCAAAAGAGGTATCAATTGTGGGTCAGCTTGAAAAAACAACGGTACACCATAATACTGTCGCTTGTTGAAATAGGAACCACAGAGTAGTAGAAGCGTGAAAAGAAAAAGAAAAAAAAAAAGAGTACCAAATTTGGGGTGAAGACGGGAGCTGGTGCAGCAAAAACAGGCTCGTCTCTGATTAGACGAGGCAGTGAAGGTGATGATGATTCAAGCTTGGCAAAAACAGAGGGTCGTAATGTGGATGATGTTTTGAGTGAATTCTGCTGGGCAGAGGCGTTGGCGGAGACAGAGGCGAAGCACCAGCCGTTGATGGAAGCGGTCGACATTGTGCCAATGGTTCTTTCTGTGGTGTGGCTTTATACCTACGTACCTAACCCTCCCCTCCCCTTTCCTTTATGATCAATCAATCACCATGCAATGCATGTCCTCTCTTTCTCTCTCTCTTTGCACTAGCAGCGTGCGTGCATCATACAAAGCCATCGGATAACGAAAGCGAAAGCCGGGGAAACGAGAGCTTCTACGTTTGAGGATGAGGTTTGGACGTTGGAGATTCATTCAATTCTGCTCCCCTTCTGCCTCCACATATACCCGTATTTGCTTAAACTAATCACCCAACAAATCAAATGTCTTGCTGACTTCTGGGGGAAATTTTTAGGCGGGCCTTACTGGTATGAAGATGATCATGACCCCGGGGGTGGGGGGGGGGTGTAAAACGCAACATATTCCTATTTCCCGACTACATTAATAATGTACGTTCACAAGGGCTATTTATGAAGTTAATGCCAATGTAAGTTTGTTGGTTTGGCTAGTTTTCATACGATAATGTTATTTCTTCTTCTGGGAATGGGACATGGGGACTCAGCACAGGTCACACCCACGGGTCACCACTTTCCTATAACAAATTAACGTTTGACTTGCAACATCCTATGGTGATCTAATCCGGGACTAATTAACTTGGGATGCCCATCTGCAAATCATTCTGGACTAGGGAGATCGAATACTCTCATTTAACCCAGAACAAAATTCTGGGAAGCAACAGACCAGAATCGGGTTAAAATTGAACTAATCACGTACTTGTTCTTTCTTTCTACTCGTCGTAGATAAGATGGGTCACTTTCTGTACCACGAAATTGAGAACAATTCCGTAGCTAAAAGTGGGGAAAATGATGGTCTCAAGTGAAGAGGTGTGATGACAGGTGTCTGGATTAATCCAGGAGGTGAATGAATGCATGGACACAATTAATGCCTGAGGAGGCATAGAGGGGATGGGCTGAAAATCGAAATCAATTAGTTGGATAAAAACTGAAGAGAATCGAATGGTGCAGGGGAGACGGGTGATGAATGAAGGATCGATGAGGCGGGTGCTGGGATAAGGTCCTATCTGGAAGACATGGTTCCTAGTAGTTCATTTCATGGATGTAAAGGTACTTATCTGCTGCCGCGTATTTTGAGTGGTTTCCTTTAGGAATGCGTCCATTTCTGGCCTGTGATGCGGCTGAGGGTCTGCACCTTTCAGAACTCTGAGGATAGATTAAAAGAGATTTGTTTGCTTTCAAAGAAAAAATAAATAAGGCTTTTTACCCTTCCCTGGAAATAAAGAACATTCATGCTAACAACCCTTCTGGGATATGTGTTTGGTTATCCAGAGCATTCCCTAGACCAAACGGAGCATATATTATGCGCAGACTTAAAAGAATCTTCTTGAATCACAGACAGTTCAGCCATGCTTCTAACGATATATATATATATATATAATTTAAAAAAAAAAAAAAAAAGAAGAAGAGAGAAATTCAAATAGCTTCTTTCCCAAAAAGGAAAAAGATAGCACCAAAATCAAAGTGATTGATAATTGGCGTAGTAGCCAAGAAAAGAGATGAGAATGGTTTCTCATCTCGGGCTCGAAACTGTAGTAGGGAGGGAGAAGAATGGATTTCGGAGTATAGGAAAGGAGGCGACTGCAGAATGCAGATGCGAGAAGCTGGAAGCACATTTTAAAAGTGGCACCATATTTATCCATTCCCCCGCAAAGGTGTGAGATTGAGCATGTAAACTTATGGCCACCTCAACATGTCAACATATTTCTGTCATAATTTCAACATCCATTCGTCATTTGCCCCTAGCGCTCTGCTGCTGCTAGTACAACTCTCTTTCTTCTTCTTCTCCTTCTCCTTCTTTTTTTTTTTTTGGGGGGTGGGGGGGGGGGCTTTTTATTTTGATTTACTTTTTAAGAAAGAAACACTTTGACGACACTACAAGTGCGCATTTCCAGGCCCAACCAACAGGAGGAGGTAATTCCTAGGCCCATTTAAAGGGCAACAGCACAAAGAAAAGAAAGCCTTATTGCTGAAATGTTACTCGGTCCGGAATACTAGCAATCGACCAAATGGGACAAACATATTAGCAGGAAAATTGCATTGACATTATTCATCATTCTCAAATGCAAGAATATGCTCGAGCCCTTATTGTTGGTCACTTCATATGATTGGCAGCACCGTATCACTCTTGATTTTGATGAAAAGCAGTTCATTCAAATAATCACACTGTAGGTTTTCAAACAGAGTACCAGTAACTAGCTGAATAGAACATAACCATTCTGCAGATTATGGACATGAATGAAGAGATTCAGACCCAGGGGCCTGGTCAAAGCCCCTCCAACTCCTCCGAGTGTTGTACAAGTGACTGCATTTGCTGAACTAAATACATTAACCGGAAAACTTTTTAAGTGACAGCCATATTCCCCCATGATATTCGAGAGATAATAAAACATTTGTTGTCTCTCATGCGTAAAAAGATAAAAAAGAAAGAGACACCAGTGTTTCCTGTTACATTTGCTGGATGAAAACTTACGAGCTAAAAGTGAATGACAGAGTAGCTATAGATTGTATAACTCTTACTATCAGAACAGAATCTGTAGCCAAACTGTAAGAACCCATCAGACCTGACAGAAACCTTGTGAGAAATCCATTTCAAAACTGCAGCAATCCTATTTAAAGTCACACACGTATCTTCCATTTCTTGCTTCACTTTTCCTTTCAAGTAGATTCACCTCTTATCTTGTGAATGACGAATAAAAAACTTATAACTCCACATTTGGTACTTGAAATCTTGCCCCCAACATGGATGCTAAAAAATGAAGCGGTCTGCCTTCAAGTGTCATCAAGAGCTATCAGCCTGGTACACTAACTCAGACCAAAAGAGTAGATTGACCAGCTACTTTGGGGCCAGCTTTATTGGACACACGGAGAATGCAACACATCTAGCAGCTTTAGCGAGCATAAACCGCTCATTTTCAGTCAATGGCCTCTCGATGACCTTCACAATATTTGCATCCTGAAACAAGGGTACAAGCCACGAATTCAGTCTTCCATGTTATGGATCCGTAAAAAAAATTCCCACCAACACTCACGGTCAATATATAATTGGTTAAAAAAAGTCCATAGATTTTTTGCTTTCTGTATCAGCATCAGCCTCAAATACAGATCCACCAGTCTTAGATTGACCTTAGGGTCTTGATGGCTAACTAACTGAATTATATATAGTTAAATTAGTTAGACACATACAAAATACATGGAAGTGGAAAAACGAAGTCATACTGCTTATAGAATGTCTTCTCCCATTTTCTTATGTGAAAGGTCAATAGTTAGTTTAGGGCACACCTTCTTTTGTTGTTGGGCTGAAGGCCTAACACTGGCAATGTCACCAATGACAATTACATTGTTAACATTTCCTCTCTCATCCCTTTCGGTTGGCGAACTACTTGAATGCCTCCACTGCTCGCTAACTACATATTTGTAGTAGTACCTAAGAGCCAAAAATACATTGAGCTCAGAGCAACAGAAACCAAAAGAATATAAATAAACGGGGACAGAGTGTGTTAATAAATTACAATCCAGAAGGAGAAAATAAATTAAGAAAATTAAGAGACAGAAAATTCCAATATTTAAACTAAATTTATTCAAGCTCCTTGCATTACCAGTTAAGGGTTGGGTTGGGTTGGGTTTGATAGGGAATAACATACTCAAAACAACATGCAATGGTTTGTAAAGGAACTTGTACATTTCTTCCCCAATTTGAAAGTCTAAAATGTAAAAGAATTGTTTTTGATGAGTTCAATTGTTCTCTCAAGCCCATTACTATTTCGAAAGAAACAAGACTCACTTTCCTTGTGGAAGTCTAACTTCAACTTCAAATCTTGGGCCACCTTTATGGACTGCCTTTATTGGTTCTTTCCAGTTTCCAGTAAAATCTCCAACCAAGTAAACATCCTCCCCCTGTTATCAGACACCAACTTAGTCAGAATTTAATGCAATGATGGATAGAAATCCTGCACTAATGGATAAAGATGCTGCAGTTATGGAGTATCATGCTTTCAACAAATGAAAGAAATAAGGGAAAAGCATCAACATGTCTTTCCAGAAATTAGCTGTCCGTAATGGACTATCAAAGTTTGAAACAAAAAGTTCAGTTCTCTATTCTTCACTGCAGGAACCATCATATTGCTATAAGGTAATTTTAAAGTAAGAAATCATTGATCACCTCATGCCCATTCCAGACAAAGGTTACAGCATGGGTTGCAGGTCCATCATGTCTACCACTTTCCACCCTTGCTATTAGATCCCATGTTGCCCAAGCAATTGCTGCCCTGCAACCAAATACATGAAGTTGAGGTTGATGAAACGGGTATGCATTCAATACAAAGTACTATCTTGTAGAAGTAAACCATAAAACGGGGTGTTCTCTGGATTCTTGAGGATGAGGAGAAGATTTCTTTAATCTTAGCATGATAAGGCCTTAAAATAGAGATTTAATCATTAGAAGATGCATAAAAAAGAAAATTAGGAAAGAAGCATTACAGCTTCATCTTTAATCTTAGCATGATAAGGCCTTAAAATAGAGATTTAATCATTAGAAGATGCATAAAAAAGAAAATTAGGAAAGAAGCATTACAGCTGAAGCTGTGCATTTTAAGGTTATGATGCAATAACAAAATGACAGATATTATGCCATTCCAGCCAATGGCCAAAATATATAGCAGATCGGGAACTTGAGGTAGTACATGCCTCAGCTTCGATTTAGTCATCCTTGGATTTTCAGTGACATATACTCTAGGAGATACGTATCAATCTTGAAAAAGATGACATTATGCACATAGAGAAATGAACGGAAACAATGCAAGAACTTTTAAGTACGCTAGAATATCTGCCAATCTAAACTGGTAATAAACTTACAAAGCATGCTCCTTGGTATTAATTAGCCTAAGAAAACTTAAGCTTCACAAACTCTATATCATCAGGCTAACATTGTCATAGAAATGCTCAGAGGCAGTTAATGAGAAGAACCTGTCAGGCTTGCAAGAATGCAGTCCAGTGACGAAGTTGTACGCTGCATGGAGGGAAGTGTCTGTCATCCAATGCAAATATGCAATCACACAAGCAGGGGATCGATCAAAACCAGTAGTACAAGTGACATATACACGATGGTTCTTCTTGAGTAAGCGCAAAAGAAGACCAACACAGAATGGTAGCTTCTTTCTTGTATCAAAAGAATCAACCTCCCTGCATTAGATATTAATTCACATATGCATTGGGCCATCATTGTCTAAAAAATTTAGATGCCTCGTTAAAACTGACTTTCAAAACATAGAATGAGAAACAGTTAATCATGGAAGCATATACTGAAGACTAATTTAACATATCATTCAATCGATCAGTAGTCAAGGAGATGAGTTAAAGAGAAGCCTTAGATATCAAAGAGTATTACAAATGCCTGTTCATGTTTACAGATTCATACCAGACACAGCCATAAACCTTCCTATTTCTAGAACAACTTTAATGAATTTTCACATTTCTTGTAAGAACATTGTGAGTAACATAAATTCTGGTTATGAAGTGAAATGTCAGAGAATAAGAGAAAATTAATTCTCTTGGGCAGTAAATAAAAATTACAGCTATTACCTTATGGGATAGTTGATCATGAGAATATTACAGCGTTGGCATGTCTCATTTATTACTTTTGAACTTATTCCCCAATTTTCTGCTTCAGTTCCACTTTGGAAATTCAGCACAGCAGTGATCCCCTGATTATACAAGTCCAGACTGTTATAAACTATCAAATGGACATCCAACACTGAAAACAGAGGAGGTCTACAGTTAAGTTTAACATCAAAAAACCACCAAGAAAAGACTGACTAATAGAAATCTCTTCAACTTCTTAAACGGGGTAGACATACAATACAAAGGATCTGACATGTGCACTAAATGGGTTATCTGTAAATTGACTGTATATACTCTTTCCATATTTTCTGGTTCAAGAGAAGATCATATGGCTAGTTGTCATTTCTGCAGGATGTGAATCCAAGATCCCTTAACGTTGTAAACTGCTTTCAACAAGAAGCTGCCCTCTTATTTTTGAAAAATACGCCTACCATGGCTATCTTACCATCAGATACCTACAGTTGTCTACCAACACTGTTAACGTTTTAAGTTTTCATATTTCGATACTTGCACGGAGAAAAAAAAACGGATTCACTTGGGCCATTGTCATGATGCGCTTTACTGACTGAAAATATATACCTTTTCAAATGATTGAATCATGCGAGTACCTTGTCAAGTAAGGGGCAGAATATAATTTAGTCAATGGTGTAGCACCCCTTACCGCAGTGGTAGCCAAACTCTCAACGTCAGCTTCTGCTTGTATACATGATCCCACATATATTTGCTCTGTGATCTAAACACAAAACACGAAATAAAAGGGTTATTGACATTGAGTATGATGCATAACAAACAGGTCCTAAAGCTTTATCCAAATTGTGAATTATGAATTGAAGCATCATAATTTATAAAGCCAAGTGTTTAACAAACTTTTTTAACATCCTGAAAAAACAATAGACCCTTCTAGCTCCTAGTAACTTAAAAAGTATGACAGATGAATCAAATAGAGCAAAGACAAGCTCAATATTTCACACCTTACTATAACGCATACCAAGAGAATGATTATAGTAAAGCTCCCGCTTGCTCGGTCCAATGCCATAACATATTCGTCCAATGGGAAACTCCCATGAGCCCATTCACCAGCTGCAGACTCTTCATCAGAGAAAATGGTGACAAGTGGACTTAGTGGTACAGCATGGCCATTGTTCTTCAACATTTGTTGGTAACTAGTTTTGTTTTGATCGCTCAAAATCTTCCATCCACGAGGATTTACATACTTGGACGAGAATGTAACAAACCCAGAATTGCTGCCACCATCAGTAGAGCATCGCAAGTTTGAGGTCAGTATATTTTTGTTCCAAGTGGCAAGAGGCACACGACCTCTATTAAACAAGATATCAAGGTCATTCATCAGAAACAGCCGATGAACCGGGAAAGGGGAGAAGGGCCTTTCAAGCACAAGGCTACAAGTCCCTGACTTCTCTTTCATCATCCTCCTGCAGAAACCAAAAATAATAAAAAATAGTTCATAAACTACAGACTGCTTCTTCCATAGTACATTTAGCATTGCCCTTACTCTTTTAAGTTTTCAACTACACGAATAACCAGCCATCAACTGCTATTCTTTTTTCTAACTGTTTAGAAAGGGATGGTGGGATGGTGAGTACTCTAAGACGGTAGTTCCAAAATACTATCTTTTAGGAAATAGTTGTAGTAGCGTGCAATGCCTTCTAATCTAAAGGAAGCAAGCATTGCGATAGTTGTGCTAGTAACGAGCCAGTAGTGCAGTACATAATCATACTCTGTATCACCGAAGTCCTTGATCTCTATAAGCCCCCCTCCAGATGATGATGATGAGGATTCACTCGCCTTCTTCAGAGTATCCCCAACCATTATTATTCTCGACTTCTCAGCATTCCCCTGCTCCTCAGCAATCCAATAAATATGCAAACATTAAAGCAGTTTTACGTAAAAATAGGACGACGGGATAATGAAGATAATGCAAACCAAAGAAAAAGAAGAAGTAAAACAGAAAGGAAGAAATAACTGAGCAAAACAGACCCCTTTCTTGAGAGCGTGGACGAAAATTTTTCCATCAACAGAGAGAGCAAAACGAATGCCGAGGGGCTTCTCAAGAGTCACCATATATTCATTCAAATTCATCCTAAATGCCGAGCCGGAAGTCGAAGACGACGGGGACATTGCGAAGACCCGAAAGGTGGCCTCTTTCGATCGGAAAATCGACTCTCGGTTGCGCTAATGCTGGAGCTGCTGCCATTACTGCCGGAACACAAACCTTTGCCCCAAAAAGAAGAGTGAATTACTGTCCGTGCAGCTGCTGATATGAGAAGCAGGTGGTGAAGGGTGAATGGTAGGGTCCTCTGCAGTTGGGTATTTGCAGCGAACACATTGGAGCTCTTGTATTTATCCGCTAAACAAGATCGAGAAGATAGTAGTAATTCCCGCTAGCAATGATCAAAGATTGAATTTTGAAGAAATTAAAAAGAATATATTCCACGATTTTTAAAGAGTAATAATAAACACTGAAATAATTAAGAACGGTTGGTGGAGCGGAGTAAGGATCAGAAGTGACCAGCAACTTTTGCTTTTCTGGAGCCTGGACTGGAGGAAAGAGGCAGAAGCAGAAAAAGATGAGAGGAGCAAGCAGGATCTAAAGACTTTAAGATCTATGGTATCGTCTTAAGAGAGGAGGGGCTTTTTGCCCACGTGTCATATGATTTTCTCTGGGTTCCACTCTACATGGATCCCGAGATTTTTCTTGGATCTCCGGAATAGGAATAATAAGAAATGGAAATATCTCCATGTCGCAGCAAATGCAACGTGCCAATGGCTGACTAATCCACCAAAAGAAGTTCCGGTCCACATTAGCCTTTTTCAGTTGGTTATTTTAACTAATTATATATTCTTATTTGAATAATTAATCTTTATGATGATATTTTTATTTATTTTTATATTTTTGATTTGGATTTTTAATGGCAAGAAAAGTACAATATATAAGCATTCAAAGAATAGTTTTTGCTAATTCTCATATTCTCTATAGTCAGTTTTTATAATGATAAATTGGTATTAAATCCACATTCTCTCTAATAGCTAGTTTGGGAGGATGGAAATGAAAAGAAAAGAAGGTTTTAAAGGGATAAAAAAGTTTTTCCATTGTTTGGGAGTTAAAATGAGAAGGAAAAGAAAAGAATAGGAAAGATTCCGCCGCCCTCCATCTTTTGGAAAACTTTCCGCCCAACATTGGGCGGAAAGGGAAGGTACGGACAGAAGTTTGAGTAAATTTTTTAATATGACCAAATTACCCTTAAAATCCTATACAAAACATTTTAATACCCGATGAATCCCTCTCACATTTGTTTATAGAAAGGGCATATTTGTAAAATAATTTGTTTAAGTATCTTTTCCTTTCCTTTGCATTCAACTCCCAAACAAAAGAAAATTACTCACTTTCTTTTCTTTTTTAAAACTCCCAAACAACTTGGATAGAAACTTTGATCATTTCTTTTCTTTTCTAACTTATCATTTCTCTTCTTTTCTTTTCATTTCCATCCTCCCAAACTAGCTATAAGTATGTGAAGCTAATATGTGCTTTCACTATTTGCTTATCATTACAAATAAGTATACTAAGACACTAAAAATCATACTCACTCACGAAAACAACTCTTATGTTTTTTCTGTTTTAATACTCCCTCCGTCCCACTTTGATAGTTTTGTTTTCCTTTTTCGTCTGTCCCAAATTGTAGTTAACTTTCCAATTGAATAATGTAGTTGTATTTTGTGAGAACCCGTAAAACCCTAATTATTTTCCTAGGGTTTATTTCCTCTTAATTGCATGTTTTCTGCATTTTCTGGCTTAAAAATATTTTCTTAGTGGATTTTATGAGCAATTATAGTTTTAAGATGATTTTTCTAGCATTGGAGAATTTTTAGAAAATTAAGAGTAAATAGTGGATGTGGGACCCACTAGTGCGAAAAGTTTGGAAAAATTCGGCCAATAAGGTTAAGTTTCGGATACTGTTTAAAATTTATCGGGTGTTAAGAGATGAGTAGAGTGTGTGAAGTGATTGATGTGAGAGAGAAAAGAAAGATAGGAATGCATTTAAGGAGGTAACAAGTGTCACCTTCTCATTTGATGCCTTTTAAGAATTACTATTCACAATTTTGACTTTTTTGACCAAAGGTTAAATATCTCAAAAAAATTGCACAAAATTCACCATTTTTGCACCCTTGATGGCCGGCTCTCTCTCTCTCAAAGAAGAAGACAATTTCCTAACTTTCAAGCTTCCATAAGCTTTAATCTTCCATGAACAAAGGCTTAGACTAGATTCTACTCCATAAAACCTTATCTTCTAGTGATAGTAAGTTGTTTGGTGAACTTTGTTTGAAGCTCTAAGGTGGCCAACATCTTCCTCTCTCTTGGTTCTTGGTAAGTGAAGCTTGAAACACCCTACTACCTCTAATAATGCTTATTTTGTGCTTAATGGGGGCATGAGTGAAGGAATATGTGATTTACCCTTGATTTGGCTTGTTTTGGTGAAGTTTTTAATTTATTGGGAATTTTTCTGGTTTAATTGGATTATGATGGTGTGATTGTTTGTGATGATGGGCAATGGACTATAATGGCTCTAGTGGATGTGAAATGTGGTTAAATGCAATCAATTTTGGATTTGGTGTGAAAATGGAAAGTTAGGGTTCTTAATTCTCCAATTCTGTCCGGTTTTTTGATCATAGGGCTAGAGGCCGAATTGGACTTTGCTCAAAACATGAAAGTTGTAGGTATTGATGAGATTAGTGTGCCTGCAAAATTTCAGGGCAATTGGACAAGTGTAGAGTGAGTTATGCCGTTTTTACTGTTGCTGTTTTGGTGCACAGAATGTCCGAACTGCGATAGTAATTGCCTGTTTTGACTGGAATTGTTTGGATTTTGGAGTTGGTGTCTTCTGATGAAATGTAGCTGGATGTCTTAAATAACTTATGCCTTTGGAATTTCGGCATTTAGACTTGTATGGACTGAGATATACCGATTACAGTTTTCTGTGTTTTGCAAATCTGTTTTGGTAATTCTGGTTTGGTATTTGGCACTTTTGACCTAGTTGTGCTAGGATTTGGACTAAGAGGCCTTCTACATTGTTGTAGCCCTGTTTCATAGCTTCGAAACGGTGGGTCTTACACCCCCAACCGATCATTGTAGTGAGAGTTGTGCCATTACCGCATTATGACGTCAAAACCGGTTTTCTTATCAAGGCCAACATTGAAGCCTTTCTTAATTTCTGGTTTGCTTTCATGCTTGTATATGTTTATAAAACCCTATTGGGGTTGTGAATTGGTGTTGTTTATGGCTCGGTATGGTTTCTTGTTTTATGATATTGTGAGCCTATGGAACGGCTCTTGACATGAAATGCTTATATGTGTGTTGTTGGGTTGTGATTGAAGAAAAATAATGAAGCCTTTGGCTGGAAAATTTGGTAAACACAAAGGGCATGCTGCCCGCATTTTTTCTCGAGATTTAGAAAACTATATTCTCGACTTGAGTAAAAGGTTAAGTATTGAACCCTTGAATTTCCATGCATGAAACCCTATTGGGCGATAATTGGTTTGACTTTATGACTCGTTATCGAGTCTTATGGTATTTGTTTACATGTTCTAGGGCGTGACGATAGCTCACGACATTCTCCTGACGGAAGTGCATGAAATAGCACTTAATTGATTGGTGAGTGTACTACTCACTTGTGTGCTATTATATGGCTTTGATATTTGAACTTGAGATGTTGTATGTTAATGGATTGATGTGAGAGTGTACTTTATCACTCTCACTTATTGTTTCACATGTTATTGAAAAGTTATTGGAAAGTTATATGAACTGATATATGAAATGAAATACATGACTTGGTATCGATTGGACAAGTATATCCAACGACTACAAATGTTATCATTGAGCTCAA